AACCAAACATGGGTATGCACATTTTAAACCAGGAGTGTTAAATTTAAAATTTGCTTTGTATAGTGTCCCTGATTTGTGCTCAAGCTGTCCCACATTAGAAAATCCACAAATTCTTAAACAATAGACATCCATCAGAACACTGATTGTCATTGGATACATTTATACTGGTTATGATCATTTTTATTCATCGAAAATAAAAGGCTGTGTACATTACACCAGCCATGTAAAAATATTCACATTAGTCTACACTTTCATTAAACTTGACAACTAGGTGTAAAATACATAATAAACTCGTTTTAGACCATATAAAATCAAATATAAATGTCGATGGGATTAAATGGGTTAATAAAAAGAAGTTTCACAAGGTTGTTGACTGATGTTTTTTGTGTGTGCTGAGGTCCCGCCCTCATTCTTAAAGCCTTGAGTCATCGTGTGTGTGTTTTTTATGAATGAAAGGATCCAGCCCGCTGATGGTGGACTGATTCCGGGGAAAAAAGGCGTTTAGCTTTCTAGTCCGTCTAAACACGGGCCGTGCTGCGATAACGTATGTCAGTCGAAATACCGAACCAGCGGTGAAAATCGTGGACTGATCCGTATTCAGCTTCGTGTGAAACCACCAAAGAGGAGAAATCAACACCAGGCAAGATTTTCTATTTTTTTTTCTCCTTTCGACATTTGTTTACACTAAGGAAACGGAGGGGTGTTAGCAAATCCGCTGTAACGTTACATGCACCCAGTGTTTGTTTTAACGTAATACCCACTACTGATACTGTTATGGTTTAGATTTTTATATTAACCTATCATTTAGAGTCGTGTTTTATACATTTTTAATAGTATTAGTCTTCATGAGCGCGAATAGCATGTTTTTATCACGATGTTAGGTGTAGCAACAAGCTAACGCGTAATAAGGAAATAGCTGCTTAGATGTTGCCGGTTCAGACCATGGTTCAGACAGTTAAAATATAAATTTGTATTCAGCGTAACTGTATGTATTATATTCAGAACTACTCAAAACGTGTAAACATGTATGCTGTTTTCGATGAGAAACGACTAGTCAGCAAAATCTTGGTTTGATTTGAACTAGTAGTATCTTACGTAATAAACGGGTTCTTACGTTGTTATAATCCTTTATTATGTTTTATTCATAATTATAAGTTATATTTGAATTTTTTTTATTAAATTGTCGCTTTGTAAGTAACGCAATACTTAAGGAGCATGTTAACCTCAAGACGTTTCGGGAAAAATGACAGCCCAAGACCTGTGTTGTTGTTGTTTACTAAATAGGAGTTTTATAAACTGTTTATAAGTGACTGGGAATTTTATAAATGATGTAAAACGCGAAATGTGAAAGGAAAGTAAGGAGCTGCTGTGAAGTCAGGAATGGAGAACTTGTGCTGAATCACTGTGACACTGTGGAAAAGCGTAGTCGGTTATTTGAGGCAGCAGCTCGCGGATGATAGGCGCACTTCCCACGCATGACGGGAAACTCATGGTCAGCAGCGTTCACTTCTTCATCTGGACTTTGACCAGTCATGATTCACTGTCAAGAAAAAAAGTTTTCTACTCTTTGGATACGGGAAGCCTAGATTTAGAAAAATGAAAATAAGATCTGGAGGTTTGTCTTTAAATGGTCTTACAGATTGAGTGTTCACGAGCTGACCACACAAACCACATTATATATTTAAATAAGGATAGTTCCTGTCTTCTGTCTTCCTTATTATGCGCTAAAATCCACCACCCAGCTATGACGCCATACACCTGTTCATAGTAGTCAACCGATGTCTTTTAATGCTTGATCCCCTGGTGGCCGATATAAAATTTATATTTTTGAATCTGTAAAATAAACATATATACTTCAGATGGCAATCGATTCTGTAATCCTATAGAATTTTTCAGAAATAAAGAAATTAAAAAAAATCTATGCTGATGATTAAAAATGGCAACTATATGCAGATATATGAGCCGATATCATCAACACGGCGCATCTCGCATAGCATATCCTTATTTCTGTTGTATAACATCATTCTGTTATTATGTCAGGGTTCTATGCCTTCTAGTGCATGGTGTCACTTGGCAAAACATTTTAATTAAAATGTTGAGTCCATAATATTTTTATTATGCTTTGACTATTTAATAAAAGCAAGGCACTCAAAATTTTGCAGTATTGTGAATATAGTTGTTTCGCTGAGTCAAGCAGCATAACAACGGCCTTTAGCTTTGACTATATTCACAATATAGTGTGACTTTATTCCATGTATTCCATTTTCACTGAATCGGTTTATTTGACATTTACAGGTTTCAGGGATACATAAATACAGACAATGACTTCAGACGGCAGAGCCAGTAAAGCCCTGAAGGTAAAGATCATTTTACAGAAAACACTTGTGAATTTTGTCACATTCTGTAAATAGTAATTTTTACAAAAATATACTGTAAAAAATGCTGGATTTAAACCTGTTAATTGGCTAACTGTAGCCTAAGTTACCTTACCATATACAATAAATGAGAAACAGTGAATGGGGTATAACATCACTTTATGTAATTTTACTGTAAAATACTGTCAAATTTATGGTATAGCTATTCACTTGTCAAAACTATGAATTGCCACAATTTATAGGAAAAAAAGGACATTCCCAGACGTCACATTATGACATCAACATCACAGTTTTATTTAATTATTATTTCTTTCTTCTCATTTGTGTTATCAGTTATGCATTAGGGTACTTTTCTATTATTTAGTTAGTGTTTATTGTATTATTTTAGTCTTGTGTGTTACTCTGATGGCATTTTGTCTTTGTGTATGGCAATGTGAACTGTTTATATAAGGAGTATTGGTCAGGTTTTATGGACAGGCCACTTATGATGAACTCTGATTCATCATGTGGCTTTCTATTTTACCATTTCTATTATTATGTTGGCTGTGTCAGCATATTTTTGTATAATAACATTATAGCATTTAAATAAGCTGAAAACTACACAGGCACCAATATTCCACCTGGTAATTCCTGAAACATTTTTACCATATTTTTTAGGGTGAATTGTCTGGCTACCATAGTTGCCGTTTTTACAGTAATGCTAATAATGTCCTATTATTTCAGGTGAAGAGGGAATGCGGGGAGAACGTCCCAGTGCTGAGTGACAGTGAGCTCATGTCGCTGTCGGTGCGCGAGCTCAACATGCACTTGCGCGGTTTGTCACGCGAGGAAGTGCAGAAGCTGAAGCAGAGGCGACGCACGTTGAAAAACCGCGGCTACGCGGCGAGCTGCCGGGTGAAGCGCGTGTCCCAGCGCGAGGCCCTGGAGCAGCAGAAGAAGGAGCTGCAGCGGGAGGTGGAGCGGCTGGGGTCCGAGAACGCAGGCATGCGGCGGGAGCTGGAAGGGCTGGGTGCCCGTCTCGCTGCCCTGCAGCGCTTTGCCAGAGGTCTGGAATCCGGAGGAGGCAGTCTGCTGGCCACCACACCCCGTCTGAACACAGCCTCCGTCATTACCATAGTGAAGACACCGCAGCAGGTGCACAGAGAGCAAGGAGCATCCTAGGGCTCCACATGGATACGCAGACACGCATAGGTACACAGTATGATCGCACAGACAGACAGACCGACCACGTATACTCACATATACAGGAAGAAAAACAAGTACCAGTTGGGAATTACAGTTTCACTTACATATATAAACACACACAGACTATATATACAGTCTTATAAATGTCCAAGAATAATCTCAGTACTGTTGTTGTGGCCTCGAATATCATGACAAGTGTATACGTCTGCACTTATAAAGCTATTGCTAATGATAGCGTTATTGCTATTTATGCCCATTACTGTGCTTTCTGGATGGTGATATATGTTTAAAAAAATGTGTCCTAACAATTGTCTTCATGCGGGACCACCAACATTTCAGAAGCTGGTTAGTTTTGCTGGATTATCTCCATGGTATTACTGAGTCATGGGACAAGAGAACGTGCAGATCTATGGATAAATGCCATTTATATATTTTAATGTTTGTATAAAAGACAAATGTTCAACAACAGACATGAAAGCTATTTTATTTGTGTTCGAAACAAGATGTTTGAAGGTAATTTGTGCTGTGATTGGTCTAAATACTACTTCTGATCGACTAGTTTGGGGTCATTGTTTGAATTATTGTGTGTTTTTTGTAATGTTTACTTGTTGTAATGAGTTAGTAGTTTAGTAATGGTAAAGTATACAGCCTTATTACTTGTAATATGATTCAGTATGTGTGAGGGTCATATTTGTACTAATATTAGAGCAACTTGTTTGTAGTGGTATTTTTGTATTTAAAACCAAGACCATATATATTATTTGCTATTTATGATTAAAAACGTATCTGAATATTTTGGACAGCTGGAATATTTTAAAAAATACCATTCGAGGGAAAAAAAGTGAGGAAGGGGAATCTGAGGAAGATGTGAAAATAGAGGACAAAGGGGAAGAGTGCAGCCAAGAGAAGTAAGCACTTGCGGCTCACACGGGAGGGAAAACAGGAGGATAAGAAAGTGACAGAAGGAAAGCGAAAGACAAAAATGATATCACATGTACGTCACATCAACCCGTGGTCGTCAGGATGACTTCCGACTACAAGCCGGGTTTACTCCAGTAAACGGAGTGATACTGTATGATCAGGTAACGATCGGCCATGTTAAACGTGGATATCTCTGGTGATTTTTTTTATTGTGTAGTTAGCAATGTCGTCATCAGTACTGAGAATCTAACCTGGTAATATCATGCCCATGATACCTGTGCTTCAGAACAATGTGACGAATGTTTTGTAAGAGGGGAGAGCTAAAAAAAACAACAACTGATGTTTGTATTTATTATCTGTATTTTTCTATGGTAAATTCATTGTCTATTTTATATCATTTAATTGAAATAAATGTTGTATATATTGTATACAGAAATATGTGTATTCACTGAGTAAAAAAAAAAAAACACTATTGCACAAACATATACAGACAAAATTCTTTATTGTTTCCTAGGCCAGAGCATCAAGGGAAAAAATAGAAGCTTAAATCTTTGACATAGTAATACATAATGCTCTGTTTAAAATAACATGACAGTACAAAGAACGTCTTAGTGTAACTTCAAAATGTTTCCACAAAATATATATATATATATTTTTTTTTAAACGTAACAGCACTTCCTATGTTACTTTAAACCACTCTCTGAATAACAACGTACAGAAATAGCTTGCCAAAATGTTCTAGAATATTCGGATTTATCCTATATATACAAAACTGCTTAGTGCAAGTTACAACAACGTCTATATTATTAAAAGAAATCCTCCCCTTATAAAGAATACACTGCAAAAACACTAACATAACAACTATAAGCAGGTACCATACATACTCGTACTTGGTTCCAGCTGCTTTGTGTTTATACTGGCCTCTATTGTACCAATAAAAGCATAGGACAGTTAATAAGTAACTCCAAAGATGCTATCTAACCAACCGCAAGCTTCAAGCTTGGTCATCAAGGGCCTAGTGCTATCTAAAGAGGTAAAGCGCAAATGGCAGATGCTTCTGAAGAATGGGAGAGACTTTGGTGTGGCTCTCAAAGGATCGGTGATAACTTTATGTCCCATAAAGATAAAGGGTGCGAACTGAGATATGCCTCCCTCTAGTGGGATATCTAGAAACAATACAGCACCCAATAAAAGGATAGCTCACCAAAACTGAAAATTGTGTCATTTACTCACCCTCATGTTTGTTCAAACCTGTATGATTTACTTTAAGTAGAAAACAAAAGAAGGTATTCTGAAGTATGCCTTTTGTGTTTCTTTTTGTCCATAATATGAAAAGTTCAATGGTGATGTTAACTTTCCTTTGTGTGTCTGCGTTTAGCAGAAGAAACAAAAGTTTTAGAATGACATGAAGGTGAATAAATGATGACAGAATTGTCATTTTTGGGTGAACTGTCCCTTTAAATTTTCAAATGATATAAATTTCGCATTTCCATCAGACAACAGAATACGGATAAACTGATGGTACTTGACTGTTCTTTCTCAGTGAAAGTATAGCATACACTAAGAAGCGTAACCTACATCTATTTTTTAAACCGCTCGGCCAACCTAGATAGAATCTTTTTCCTGCAGTGGTCCAGGACGGTCACACTTTTATGAAAGCTGGTGCAAATCTGCACCAGGCGACTAATGTTCCAATTACAGCCTTATAATCCAGACCGCCTTAATCTGTAATCTAATCGTGGACCATCAACCTCTCCCCGTCCCTTGATTCATCCGTCAAAACAATAACAGCTGGTACTCTCTCTACTGTACTGTAGGCGTACCCGCCCTTTAAATCACTGGGGAAGCTATAAACACTGTTGAAACAGAAGCAAAGGTGCACTTGAACTTGTAAATCAAAAATGGAACATTCCCACCGAACGGGGGGCCTTCCAATACACTGCTCTTTAGAAATATGCTGGGATGTCCAAACACCCCCGATGTGAAACTACAAGCATAAAAAAATACATCAATCCAAACGCTGAAGTGTCAGACCACGTGGGTTTTCAAAATTTGGCTAAAAGTATAAATGAATGTATTATTTAGTTCTCTGTATAAACATCAACATCAGACAAAAGCGCATTAAGATTTCTTTTAAAGACAACTAAGCAAGTATAAGCAGCTTAATTTTAGATTCTACTGCACTAGAACGTAACTACTTGCTTAAGATGGTCCTTTAATAACCTGTTCCTATGTTAACCTCATCATTACACTACCGCAGCAGTAAACGGTCCCTTACGGAGTACCTTTGCTCAGGACTACAGGCGAGCGAGTTAAAACTCATCATCGGAGCTAAGCAGCAGGGTTTTCTCATTGTCCCGGGCGCTCACGCAGCTGTGATTGCGGGATATGGGCGGTGCGGTGACCCCCTGCTCCAGGGTGGACTGCTGGATGTACTGTTGGTAGGCTGGGGAGAAATTGTGGATGGCATCCTGAACCATGTCTCCAGGGTTCATGGTCTCCTTTAAGCTGCTGGAGATGCTCTTCATGGGGGCACAGCGACCTTGAGAAGAACAGAGAACTTAATTAGAGATGGATGATGGCATGAGAGAAGAGACATTTTAGAAAAAACACAAGATTGACTTGTCAGTTTTGGGTGAACTATCCCTTTAAGAGTCCACTGTCCCTACAGTTTCAATTAGAGAGGAGATGTGGTTTAAGATCAGGAACTGTAGCCTACCGTACTGTCCATATGTAGGAACGGGGCCTTTAGAGTGCAGCATGAAAAGGAGAAACAAAGAAAAGATGGAAAGGGGCAGAAGGGTGGATGTGGTGCATGGGATGACCAAATAAAATGAAGAGAAATTGAAAGCAAGATGTGGAAAGATAAACAATAAAAAGCATTGAAAGAATAGATAAGAATGAATGGATTGAGGAATGAATGATTTACAGAATAAAAGCAGAAGAAAAGAGAAAGTCAGCCATGACTTCTGAGCCATTATTATTGTGACAAAATGTTGAGAGAATGACTGTTCTTGAAATCTCAATAAAACATGCCTCAATTAGGGAAAAATAAGTACAGCAGCAGTTTTAACAAAGTGACATGACATCTGACGCACAGATGCCATTGGCACATGCCACTATGCTCAGTGACACTTCCAGTGGCACTTCCGGTTTTCAGTCAATGGACATTGTTGTGGACCTCCGTGAAGTTGGCACCCCATAAAAAGAAATAATCACCAAAACTATGCCATTCGTTTGTGCTGATTTGTGCCGCAAAAACGAACGTTTGTGTTGGTTTGGTGTTTGAGATATTAAACATTTTTTTGACCGTGTGACGTCACTCTCCACCCCATGTTGCCCAAATCGCTCCAAACCAGCGCAGTTCGTTTGTG